GGGATTGCGGCGTGACCATCCCCCCTGGGGGGTGATTTCTCGCTTTCTGTCTCTATGTCTCTCTCTGTCTGTCTGGCAAGCGCACGCGCCCTACAGTGAAAATCTCTCCAAAAAAAAAAAATCACATAACCATTATGATTTATTGTTGCCATACTGAAATTAAACAAAATTACATTCATTGAGCACTTACAATGTGAAAGGAACTGGTCTAAGCAATTTTCATATATTTCAATTTAATCCTCCAAACAACTCAGTGATATAGATACTATCATCCTTATTTTATAGATGAGGAAACTGAGGCAGAGAAAGCTGACAAAAAGCCCACAGCCACACAGATACCAAGAAGTAAAACTTGGGTTTGATTCTAGGCAAGCTTTCCCTGAATATGTATTACTAACCACTCTGACATATTGCTTCTGAGAGGATATTAATACTTTTATAGCCACCCAAATAATTCTTGATAGAAATGATATTATTCAGGAAAGGCATTCTTATCACTGCAAGCATTTCAAGAGTGACATAAAATCCTGATATTATGTTTTCATTTACACTTATCAAACCAAGGAAAGCTTAATAAATATAATGCTTAAAAATGGATTTTAAGGGACCAGCAGATGGCATAATGGTTACATCACTGAACTCCCACATAGTCTAATGCCATTCGAGTAATGGAGACTTAAAACTCACACTGGGCATGTGTGTGTGTGTGCATGCCCAAAATCCTGAGAGAAGAATGGAGGAGAAGGGACTGTGACATGGCCATCCCTCCCAGGGGGATTATTTTTCATTCTGTCTCTCTGGCAAGAGTACACACCCTTTACAAAAATCTCAAAAATAAAAGTGGTTTTAAATATATTAAAATGTTTTTTGTAAAAATACTCATATTTATCTAATTTCTAATTATTTTTCTAATTTTTTTTGAGGGAAGAGGTTTTTTGCATAGGGCATGTGTGCATGCCAGAAAGACAGAGAAAGGCAGTGAGACAGTGAGAAATCACCCCCTCAGAGGGGCATGGCCATACTGCAGTCCCTTCTCCTCCATTCTCCTCTCGGAATCTTGGGCATGCACGCACACGCGCCCAGCATGAGTTTAAACCACGTGGCTCGGGACTTGAACCATGGTCAACTCCATGGGAGTCCAGTGACAGCCTTTATGCCAACTGCTAATCCCTCTAATTTCCAATTATTAAAGTTTTTGTCAATATCTCCAGCTAGTCTTTTCCTCAGAAACATTGCTGGATTTGCTGGTGAATTATTGTAAATCTTTTCATGCAATATAAGTGCTCATTTTAAACTCTCTTAGATATGATACTGTATCCCATAGCAGTATTGATTTTTTAAAATGATTAAAGTTCTTTTTTCCTCCATATTTATTGAAGTATAATTGATAAAAATTTTATATATTTAATATATATACAATATAATGATTTTATATACATGTATATTGCAAAATAACACTGCATTCAAGCCAATTAACACATCCATCACCTCCCACTTATGTGTGTGTGAGTACCTGTTAAAATATGTTCTCTTAATTTAATTTTTTTTTGGATTAGGTACAATACTTATATTTACTATAGTCACATGCCATATAAAAATTAGTTAACTTATGTTTTTACTTTATTAAAATAACTATTCTGGGGACAGCAGGGCAAGCCAGCTAGATCCCCCATAGATTGAGTCTTGGACCCAGCAGCATCAAAAAAAAAAAATAAGCAGTGTACATACCCAAAATCCCAAGAGGAGAATGGAGCCAAAGGGCTTGCAGTATGGCCGTCTCCCTTGGGGGGTGATTTCTCACTTTCCCAGTCTCTTTCTCTGTCTCTCTCTGGCAAGCAGAAATGGTGTTATCTTGACTTCCAGATTTCATATGTCAGAATTTTCCAAATATATAAATCTATCAAGATGACATATTCTGGGTGTATTCTGGGTGACAGAGAGTTGGTACCCTGTTAGCTAAGTGTATCTCAGATATCTGAAACACTAATTAATGTATTCAGCTCTTTGATTTGTTTCTTTCTTTATAGCTTCCGTGAGTGAGAGAGACAGGCAGTACCCACCAGCATCATGATGCCAGTATTCTCCCAAGGCTCAGCCGGCCCTGGCTCATGGGCACACATGTCCTGACATCCTTAGGGAGGCCTCTGAGTGTGCACCCAGAGCTTACCTGTGAGGGTCAGCTGCACAGAGCCATCCATTCTATAACTGTGCCATCATCTCTCTTCCGAACTTCATCAGTAAAAGACTTCTGGGTATATGGGTACATGATTTTCAGGGTATTACATAATCAATTTCTTCACAGGATGAGGCTTTTATTTTTTTAAGAATTATTTTATTTAACTTTATGTATTATTATTATTATTTTAATTTGACCAAAGAAAGATAGAAAGAGAAAAAGTGAGAAAGCAAGCTGCCAGATTCGAGATTTGAACCAGTTAGCCATGTAGGAGTCTAGCATCTTTAATACCATGCCACCTGCTGACTCCTGAGGTCTTATTTTAAAATCACATTAGGTGAAAAATAATAATTCTGTGCCCATTATTTAAAATGTTGTTTTATAGATATTGGAATTTTGAAGTTGATTTTTTTTTTCCATTTTTGTTTTTATAGATGTTCGAAGAAGAACAATTTATGAATACCACCGAGTAGAGCTACAAATGTCAAAAATTACCAACATTTCAGCCGTGGAGATGACCCCATTACCTAGTAAGTTAATACATTCACATAGATGGAAAAAGTGACTTGCACGTTTGATGATCTGATCTCATTGTTAATAATTCTACTAACTATATAGTTATAATAGTTTGGTAAGCATGGATGTTTTGATCCTAAGTGTAGGAAAGATGGTCATTTTTTGTTTTGATTGAAGAATCCTTTTATTCTTCCATGCTATCAGTTAGTCCTGATGAATCTATTTCCTCCTGTCTCCTAGCGTGTCTACAATTTAATGGTTGTGGCGCCTGCGTATCCTCTCAGATTGGCTTCAACTGCAGTTGGTGTAGTAAACTGCAAAGGTAAAAAATAATAAAATTAATTTTAAACATTTGTTACCCCCACTGTCCTACTGAATTTTAAACGTTATGTGAAGTGTGTTGATTACATGTATATAATCTCACAGTACCATGTATATGTGCATAAATTGTGTGTATATGTGTGTGTGTGTGTGTGTGTATCTCATGACCAAGATCAAAATTAATAGTGGTGATTTTAATATTTTTCCTCTTGCTGAGTCCTCATAATGACTGAGAACCTTCATAGTAACATAATTATCTTATATACATTTATAATTCTCTATGGGGCTTAGGATACATGATGAATGTAGTTGATGAGTCTATAAGTTGATGATTTTTTTTTTATGTTTAATTTTTTATTTTTTATCATCATATCTTCTTCATATTACATTGGATTACATATAACTTTACAGTGTATTACATTATTTCTTCAAAGGGGAATGCCATGCACGTCAGTCAGTACAGGGACATTGATCTCCCCACTTCAACATTCCATATCCTTTCTGTTTTCCCCATATAAGTTGATGATTTTGATCCATATTCTACAGAGAGCATGGTGTAAGAAATCATTTCTACAGCAAGGATAGCATGTCCTTAGTAAATCCCTATACAGTGGCTCTATGGTTATTAGTCAGGATTAGAGCTGTCATCTGAGGCTGAGTCTACCTGACCTGTGCTAAATGTGTGGCTTTGACCCCATGCCCATTGTACCTAATTGACTTTGAACCTCCATCTGTATAACTTGATGGTGTCAACGTGGCTTATTGATCTTCATGGCTGTCATAGTTTTTCAGTCCTTGGAGTCGTTCAGAGACTGAATGATCTGTTTTGGGGAAGTATAGGATGAAGACCTGTAAAGTACTTTTTCTTTATTATTGCCAGAGTGTGCATGTGATCACCAGAGAGAAGGAAACACAAAGACAGAGAAAGAGAGAGAAAGAAAACATCCCTCACGGGGGCAATCCCTTCTCCTCCATTTTTCTATCCTGTTGGGATTTGGAACATGCACACACACACCCACCATGTTTGTCAGGCCTCAGCTACCTCATTCAGCCACATGGGATCCAGCTCCCTTAACCACTAGGCAATGGGGCCAGCCCAGTATTTTGTCATTTGCTCAACCATTTTTTTTTCTACATTAATTCACTATACACCATCACAACACACAAATGAATTTTCCATCCAAAATACACTGTGCATTGGTTCAATCAAGCACATCAACATACATGTTCTCAGCAAATAATTTTCCAATTTTTATATCCTGCATACCTTGCCCTTTGTCTTGCCATCCCTGATTCCCCATCCCCCACCCTCTGCTATGTCCCATCTTCCTCCTCCATTGTCCCTGGCATCCATGGTTGCCCTCCATGCCTTCCTCCCGCCCCCATTCAATTGTTCTGCCAATGAACTTAATTGGTCTAAATAAATCTAATAGCTAGCACAGCTGACACATACCTTTACATGTACCCAAATCTGACTTTAGGCATAAACCCCAGTGAGTAGAATGAACGTACTATAAAGTAGTACCCAGCTGTGCCCATACAGCTCGCTGCAGTCATCAAATGTGCATTTTTTTTTC